CCTTAAAATTTCAGCCTCCCAGCATTTCTGGTTCCCGAATTAGCAGCTTACCCGTAAAAAACTTTGGAGCGTTCGTGCGTGGATACCACGCGGGTAAGAGTGCCCATTTTGAGGACGGTGGCCCATACTTGCTGTAGATTAAGCTCCCAAAATTTCAGTCCCGTAGCTTTTGCAAGTCTCGAGATGAAAAATCGGTAAGACGAACACACAGATACACAAACACGCAGACAACCCCTCGTCAATATGCGTTTTCTGCATTGCATAGCTGCAAAAAACGCATGAAAAGTTTATACGAGAAAACGATCTTGAGAGCCAGACATCATGCGAAAACGAAATTTTGTTTAAATCCTCTATTCAAATGCACGATCAAACATTTCAAATTCAGCTATCATATACGTTCATGTCACGTTTGTGTGCACATCAAAGTTCGGATTAAGACGTCACTGGTACCACATCATTTCTGCTACTGGTATGAAGCAGGTTACGAAATAAGTTGCATACAAATATCTTTTTAAAGATACCTTTTTTGATAATGTGAAATATTGCTAATTTGCAGAGAGAGCAAAGACTTCGCCCACAGTCTCATGATTTTTTTTTTTTTTCACCAGCTGCTAAACAAAATGCATAATTATGGAAAAAAAGCCATACTATAGGTAGTTACAAATCTCGGATTATGGAAATGCCGTTGCGCTTTCAGTGAAATACCACCTTCGGCGTCTCACATTTATAAGTTTCAGAACAATTTTCCTGGCTTTGTCGTTTGGAATGGGTTGCCTTCAGTGTAATGTTGTGGAATGTAGTACAAACGATATGTAAAGACAGACTGGAAGCCGGCGACTCGACAATTCTTACGCTGATACCTAGATTAGCTGTTAATTCATGGTATCCTGTTTATTTCATAGTACGGTTCTCCAATGATACAGCTGGCAGCTTTTCCATTTGCTTTGACCAATGTTGCGTAGTAGCCTGGTGGTTGTTCTGCTGGTGCTTTGTGACGCAGGAAGCTCAATGTTCCTTCATCTGGCGAAGCTGTAACTGCTTTGAAATATCCTTGGTATGTGTTGAGCATCCAGTGGACATATTCAAAACTATTTGCGCCGAGCAATTCGAAAAACTAAATTCTGAAATAGAGCAGCAGCTGAAGTGTATTTAATGCATACTGTATTTCAGGCGGTAAATTTTAATTTAGGCCAACACTATGCTTCAATTATCAGTGTCCCTGGTGTTGCTGAGCTCGCTGATCACGCACAGCATAATGGCAGATTCATCAGAATCCTCGGAAACCGAAACGATAAATAAATCGTCGCCCGAGGAAGGGGAAATACATTCGGATTCAGAAGCACTATTTCCAGTAAGTCTTTGAAATGCAAGAGCAGGTGGTGCAGTGGTTTAGCACATCGAGTCCGGATCTGAGGAGGAGTGGTTCAGTTGCCTCCCGAAAGGACTCTATATGCGCAAGAAGTAATCTGAGTGCTGGCAACATTGTCTCAATGGCTCCGTCTTTCAAAATTTGCTATATGAGCAAGCTGATGGTAAACTGGCACGCATCAGTATTCTTATATTTAACGGACAGCTCCAAAAACACTGCCTGAAACAATTAGAATGGAGCAGCAAGTTATGATACGTTTAACAGATTGTTTGTTGAATTTCAATTTAGGTTAATGTTGCGATTCAACCGGCAGTATCTGCGGGCTTACTGAGCTCGCCGAGCGCGCATAACACGATGGTAGATTTAACGAAACCACCGGAAGCTGAAACGATAAATCCAGTATTAGCCTCGGAAGGAAGGAAAATACATACGGGTTCAGAATCAACATTTTTCAACCACTCAGAATCAGAGCTGGAGCCTATATCCTCTGATGAAATGGAGCAGTTTTCTGGATCCGAAACAGTAGATTCATCAAAATCGCTGAAAATTGAACGTATGGATGCTGAATCAGCATTTTCCAACAAGTTAGAATCGTATATGGAGTCAATATCCTCTGATGAAATAGAACAATCTCCTGAATTCGAATCGGATATGGATCTGTGCTTTACAGTATGTTATTTTATTTTTTATGCATTTTTGGCGTGCTGCGCTAGAGCGCTGCAACAGGCAGCAAAAACGCATCTTGCAACGACCTTGTCAGTGTGTGTGTATGTTTGTGTGTGTGTGTGTGTGTTCGTCTGTCCGGGTATTTCAACTCGCT